CATCTGTCTTGCATGCACCGGCCTTGGCGCATCATACTAACTGCATTGTATTTCAATTCCTACTTGAGTACATGTATCAAGTTGCATTTCACATGACATTTTAGAATAGCTGCGCCTATCTTAGTTACATTTTGCATGTGTTGCATTAGGCATTCTTGACATAGCTAGGATTATGCATGATTACTAACTATCTTCTGTTTTGGCTTGGAGTACTCGGTGAATGTTTATGCTTTAGCATCCTTGCATGTGTGTGAGTGACTGCCATGATAGCATGCTTGCCATGAGGCTATTTGCTTATGTGATATAATTGCCTGAATGCCTGTGGGTGAAGGTTGGATTACTTGAATTGGAACAATTCATTGATTGCAAGTTTTAAGCCCACTTGAGAGTGGCAAATCACCATGTGTTTTTAAGTCCACTTGAGGGTGGCAAAATCTGTATTTTAGCCTACTTGCGAGTAGCAAACCGCTTTCAAAAACAAATATGAGACGTTTTGTTCCAACTTAGGCGATCCAGTCTATACTTGTGTGTCGTGCGCATCACATAGTAATTCTAGCTAATAATCGGAATAAGAACACATGTGTTTTCAAAAACAAGATATCATGTTTAATAGTGGCCGATCTTTGATCGGGCGAGCGGGGGTGCTCATTGCACGACCTTTCCCTCTCGTACTCAAGTTCCTGAGCTGAGGCAACTTTGGTGATGACGGACACGTGGCCTTAGGTACGAGTCAGGGTTTCCTAAATTCCCTCAAAATAAAATATTTAGGTGGCGACTCTGTATCTGGTAAAGCAGTCCATATTTGGCACTTCTTTCTAAAAATCAGTTTTTCAAAACGATTTGCCGGATTTGGACTCTTTGGTGATTTATCGATCTTGCATTGCACTTTGTGAGATTAGATTCAGAACCGTGACTTTGAGTCCGAACTGTAGTGAAGCCCAATGAACAAAACAAGATTTTTCCGGGACGTTCGGGCACGTTTACAGTAGTCAGTGTTGATTTGTCTGGCTAAATAACGTGGAAATGCTCCGTACATGGATCGAGTAGACCTTGCCAATAGCTTTGACCAATAGCTTGGATAAGCGGTTGTGCTTGGGTGAGGTGGGTGAGGCCGGTCACTAGTCATGTACCGAGTAGGACTGGGTATTTGGTCCTGGATAAATTATCATCTGTCGAGTTGACTAGTTTATGCAATTTGGTAAATTGATTGATTATCGAATCTAATCGGTTGTGTAATTGTTGGATCCCTGTTGATTTATTCTCTGTCCGAGCCTTGTTATTCCTGTTGTATTGTATACTTCCCGAATTAATTTATTTTTCAGGTGTGGAGCAAATCTAGTGGTGATTGGAGTTGAAGCATTTAAAGAATTATTGAGTTGGAGATTTTTGGGTCCACCACTATATATTATTTTTGGAGATTTGTGTAAATTATAAATTATAGACATTTGTGTAATTATTTTGGAGCCAATTTGTATTTTTGAGGTTATTAATTAGTTAGAATTTTAAATTTGAGGTTGAATTGATTTATTAACGACCCAGAAGTTGGGGCGTTACATAATTTATAAAGGCGAGTAATTAATAGGATTAAATTATTATAATATGAAAAATTAAATAATAAAACTAATGTAGTAGAATTATAAGAATCAAAATGCCACAAAAGACAAACTACCTAAATTATGGTTAATCAAATTAATAAAAATGGCCTCAAGTTTAAGATGAGATTTAGAACAATTTCAACCAACATACTATCTACGAAAGGTGCTGGAACAAGTTCTGTGTCCTTTTCATTTGTAGGAAAACCTTCTAACCCCCCAAGTATAAATTCGAATAAGGGATTAGTGAACCCCCTCGTGCGAGGTATGGCTTCGAACATGGGATTTGGAATCATTCTTATACCATTTTCTTGTACTGGGCCAGATCTACCAATTTGCATGGCTTCACTGTTAAGTACTAAGGCATTTTGACCTGCCATAGGCCTCAAAATAGGTTCGTACCAAGACTAAGGTGATGGTCTTTCATAGTTCTGATTACTAATTTGACCATTAGAATGTCCATTAACTTGCATAGGCTGTTTATCTCTAGCCAATCTTTGTTGAGGGACAGTTAAAACTTCCTCCATGTGTCTTGCGTTTGTTGGTTGGTGGTTATTCATTCGATCAAAAAAGGATACTGCCCACCTCCAGATCTACCAATTTGTATGGCTTCACTGTTAAGTACTAAGGCATTTTGACCTGCCATAGGCCTCAAAATAGGTTCGTACCAAGACTATGGTGATGGTCTTTCATAGTTCAATATTATGAACATCGTGGTAACTTGTTCGTGAAGTGCTGGTCTGTTCGACCATAGGTTCTGATAAAATGAGTGTTTCCACAGGATGTGTTATCACATTATCCTCTGGATTAGGTATCTCTACCTCTCCTTCCACGCCTTCTTCCAAGCGTTCAATTTCTCCTTGTCTCCTATGTCTAGCCATTTCAATTTGTCCCACTGGGCCTGCCAAAAATATATGTTGACTTTTTTGGCTTTCGAAGGTTATTATTGTAATTGCGAGTGTGCCAGCAAGGATCAATCAATCCTTACAGAAAATTAATTGCCAACCAATTATCAGACGATTGTGTTTTAGTTCTTTCAGCCTCAATGAAGATGACTTTTACTGGTGGCTTGATTTAGGAGAATTAAGCAAAAATAACAATTGAATGAAGAACAGTTGAAGTATTTTATTAAAATGAAAAACTTACAATAATCCAAACTTAGCCTCGTAGAGGTTTACAGCAATAATCTACTTGAAACTACTCCTATGAACGAAGTGCAATGCAGGAATTTAAAGTACAGGAAATGTAAGACTGGAAATGTAAAACTGGAAAGGAAAATAAGTATAATAAGACTGGTTTTTTGGATCTGAGTCTGGGGGTCTTTTTGTGGGCCTTCTTTGCTATTTATACTTCTTAAGGATGACCATCGAACTGCATTTCTAACCGTCGAACTGCTCCTCCATGATCGCTGATCATGTTGCCTTATAATTAGCTCCACTATGCTATCACTTGCAATCAGGCTTTTCTCTTAAATTTGAATTTAAATGTCAGTAACCGTTGAAGCCACATCACCTTGCATCTCTTTGTTGATCCACTACTACTCAGATCTCGTAATAACCAATACTAACTGCCACGTGTACGATCAGGATCGAAGACTTGAATAGTCTTCCTGTATAACCCTTATTCTGTTACGCGTCGAATTGTAATTGGCTTGTACAAAATATGTAGCCAACACATACACTACTAATAACACAATATTAGATTAGTTTTATGTCAAATGATGGAATTCACTTACAAGTTTTATGTCTTAATTGGGATGATGGTGTGACATTCGCCCACTTGTCACATAAATTTTCAACCAATTGTTTGAATGTCAATCCATTAACATCCCTGACAGCAATAGTAGATGAACCGAAGGTGCAAAATAGCATGACGGCCATATCCTACGCAACGAAATAAATGAAACATTAACCGTGTCACTACATTTTACAAAAAATAAAAAAAAACAAGGCATGGAAGATATGTGATATGCAATCAAATGTGAGCGCAATAACGTCGACATCGTACAATGTGGTTCAACCCATATTCAATCACAATCAATCATAAGAAATTTTGCAGCTAAACAATAAAAACCCAAATTGAATAATATATAATGAAAAGTAAGAGTAACATTAAAATACATTCCAATATTTTCCATGAACCAACAACATTGTCACATGTAATTGGAAAAAATAAAAACCGAATAAGTTTGCGAAACGTAATGTGACACATATGTCCACAGTAAATACAACAATGAGACAACACAATACAAAAGCCATGATCATATCCGTGTGTATGTGAGTTACATTCTCATACATTCCAATACTTTCCACGAACAAGCAACATTGTGACATTAAAATGGGAAAAATAGAAACTCAATAAGTTTGTGAAATGTAATATGACACATATGTTTTCAATAAGTACAATAATTGTAAAACACAAACTAAATACAAACGAACGTAACACAAACCAAAAATGACAACATCGTAGGTGTGGTTTAACATTACAACCTAAATGTAATGGCCTTCGAGGCTAACGAAATTGTGCCTATGTATGGTTGTACCATTTCACACAATCTAACAACATTCTCACATTCAAATAAAACTTAATAAGCGAACGTAATTTACTTTTACAAAATGTAATGTGACACGTATGTAAACATTACAATACAATAATGTTACCACACAAGTTGATGCGTGATTACCATTACAACCTAAATGTAACTTTAATAGAGGCTAATGAAAGTGTGCCAATGAATGGCTATACCAGATTGCGAAATCCATATCATATATGATGACATTGAAAACAAAACAATCGGGAAAAACATAGAGCAACACTCACCAATTAAAAAAACAGACAACTTTATCTCATTCCCTTAAACAATTTGAGTCCAGATCAGCAAGATCAAACAACAAAACCATCTAAACTAATAACATTTTGAAAACCCACAAGCCTCCGCGATCATGGCGCAGATTACGACACCAGGCAAAGCCTACACAATAAAGATTCCTAAAAGTCTCCAACAAATAATACAATTAATGACTTATAACATGGAAACATATATAAAGGGTATAATAGTACACTAAAACCATTTAAACACAATTTATAGGACCTTGTGGAACATTTTTTAATTTAAATAAGATTTCAAACTCTACAAAAATTACACAAGACTTTACATTACATAAATATCTCTAATAGAATTTATAAATAATTTTTCCTAAAAAAAAAAACTATAAACACTCTCTACCAAATACGCTTACCCCCAACAGGGTTGAATTGAAATCACAAGTTAACCTACCCTCGAAACGACACCGTCTGGTTTCATTTTAATCCCCGTTTCCAAACACGACCTGTTCATCATCATTGACCCTTCTCTTGCAGGGAGAGAGAGAGCCCTTGTTTGGTTTTGGAGTCTCTCTGGTCCACTCGTTGATTAATATGCTGCACTTCACCTAAAAAACCAAAAACCAACACAACAAAACCAAACCCACGCAGACCATACCTCCTCCTTCTTCAATCTCTCTCTCTCTCTCTCTCTCTCTCTCTCTAGAAAAATGAGGATTAGGGTTTTCTACATCCTAGCTTTTCTCCTCCTCTCCTCTCCCTTCCTCCTCCAAGGTTCGCATCTCAGATCTAGATCATTTTCTTTTCTTTCAGATTTGAATTTGTATTATATAACCTAATTTAATTCATCGATCGATTTTGTTTCCATTTCCGAACTCTGCCTTTGTTACAATCGGCTCTTGATATGTTTATCTGTTATTATCTTCATGATTGTCTGGTTCATTAATATATCTGTTGTTGATTTGATTCATGCATGTCTAGTACAATAATCGATATGAACTCAATTCAGATTGCACATTTTGGTGGCGCCTCTTATACATGGTTATTTCTTAGTAATACCGTTTGTTTCGTATTTTCTTCATTTTTTGAAAATTGTTTGGTATTTTCTTTATTTTTTGAAAAATGGCTAAACAAGTTTGTGTGCTGATTTCTGTGCTCTGATTAGAGAGTTTATTGCTTTTAATATGATGTTGAATGTTGTTTGCTATGTGGACTAAAGTTGAATTTCTGTTTTCATTAATTGGATGTTGATTGATTTTGATAGTTGCTTGGTGTTAACTGGATTTGTGGTATTATTCTGAGCATCTTGCATGCTTTCTTTGAACCCTTCCTTATTTGTTTACTTGATAGATGCTGGGTTTCAATTGAATTCCTGACATTTCTTTTTGGGTCGTGATTTTTTCTTATTTTTGTTGTGGGTAAGTTACACTGACGTCCTTTGGAGAAAATACAAGAAGCCTACAATTTTAACATAATTACATTGACCTCCCTTTTAGTAATGTTAAAAAAGATCAAAATTAATGCAGACGCTATAACACACAAAGATACAAAAGGTAAAATATACATTTCAATGTAAAAGAGATGACAATATCGTCTTTTCATTCATATAACTAACAAGTTTCTAATGAAAAGGGGGTCAAGTGTTATGTGAATTAAAATCTTAACAGAGTTCAGTGTAATTATTCCAAACTTGTCGAGCTTATTGTAATTTACCCTTTTATTTTTAGTTCTTTGATTCATAGTTGCTGGGTATCAAAGTCATTTGTAATTTCATTTCATCCTGAAAATATAAATTTTTGCTATATTTTATTCTCAAAATTCTATATATTGTATATGATTAATTGTTCACTCGCTAGTTATTGGTTGTCTATCTGATTTTGAGGAGCTATGAATTGAGGTGTAATTTTGTTAATAGATTTGTTTGTTGCTCAACAGTTGCTAGGTGTCAATCGGATTTGGAGGATGAAGTTGCTGCAGGTGTTATTGAAGCAGGTGATCTTGGGATTGTTGGTGAGGATGTCCAAGATTTCGGCGATGGCAGTTTTAGTCCAGCTCCAGGGGTGGAAACAATTTGCGTTTTCCCAAAAAATCCTTCCAGAGGTGAGAATATCATTAAAATTAGTAAGGTGCCGTGTTTGCATTTGATTTCATCATTATCCTTCTTTGTTTTATTTTTTATTTCAAAATTTAACTTTTCCTTTTGGGAGTCATGTTTTTAATTTAGTTTTTTTTTTCTTTATGCAGTGATTGCCGCAGGGGAAGAGAGTGAACTATTAGTTGGACTGAAAAATGAGGGTAATATTTTCTTATTTATTTCTTGATTTTTTGATGTTTTGCGGAAGGCAAGTCATAGGATACCTGTATATTGTTGATTGAGTAGGTTTTATTGTTTACTATTATGATTATTATTAAGTGTAAAAGTTTATGCTCTTTTAAAAATTACATGTTACTATTTTCCACTGTTCTTCTTGGGTAATTATTTAATAATTCCGGAGTATGAACATGTGGTATTTCATAATATTATAATTGGTGGAGAAAGTGGGTAGGTGGGATATTGTGTTGGATGATTGGGGAACATGAGGGGCCATATTGAATGATAATTGGTCAAAGAGTGCAGACACGTGGTACTCCGGGAATATTGAATGATTTCCCGTTCTTCCTAGACTTAGTATTGTGTTGTATCCAATAGCCAAAGGGCTGACCTCAATTGCTACATTTTGGATGATGACTACAGGGGAATCAAGTATGAATGTCATTGCAATCAAGGCCAGCGTTCACCTTCCTTTTGATCATAATATGTTGGTTCAAAATCTTTCTACACAGGTAATTATTGGCTTGCTTACTTTTTGCTGCACGGTCCCATTTCCTCATGATTGATCCCTGAATATTGGCTTACTGACTTTTACTGCATGGTTCCACTTCCACATGATTGATCTTTAAAATTAACCTGAACTCATTTTCAATTGTGTGTGAAAGTTTTCTACACTTGACTTTTCTTTCTCTTTCTTGTACTTAGTGGTGGTTCTTCCAGAGAAATTTGTGGCGAAATGATTGCTCTCTATTTCTTTCTGAGTATGGTGGAGACTAGGCTTGATAAGAAATGATGTTGTCTTTAGCAAGAGAGAAGTGGCAGTGAGGGATGGTTAGGAGAGAACGGGAGGGCCTTACTAGAGCAAGGATCCTGACAACACAAGTATCTCTTGAGTGCGAAAATGTCTTGAAAGAGGTTGTAGAGGCCTATTTTTTCAGAGGACTTGAGCCATTGATAATAATCCTTGTTACGTTTAATGTACCATATAGTCTGGTATTAGGTGCAAGAAAATAATTAAGGTTCTGCAGAGCTATGAAACACTGGGGCAAGCACAGACACGGACATGGATACGACATGACATTTCTCTAAAAAACAAGATGCAACACGGATTCATTCAATAAAAATATTTTTTAATATGATTAATGTCATTTTTTTTAAATCAAATTTAAAACCAATGATCCACAAATCTAATAGCTCATGGTTCAAGCATCATTCTGTTCCAAATATGTCTAACATCATTTTTTTTATTAAATTTAAAACCAGATCCACAACTCTAAGAGCTCATGGTTCTAGAGGGAAAAAAAAATCATTCAACAGTTTTATTATTAAGGGGCTAGTCCCATTGAAGATGGGGCTGGGGGGAACTATGCCATGATGAAGTCTATGTCTATATGAACCACATGCTATACAACATGCTTTTGCAGTAGCTCTGGGCCAGTGTTGCAACCCCACACCGAGCTCAAGGAGCTTCCTTGGCTTTGCTCACAATTTAAGCAAACAACAGTGAGTCTAAGTGTGTTGTGGGGCTGAGGCAATGAAGATGGAGGGTATGCTTGTGCCAGCCAGTATGTTGAGGAGTAGGCTGACTTGATGTTATTGGGCTTAGTGTTTAGGTCCAAGGCCTAGGTACCCTGTGTTGGGCTACAGTTTAGGGACGGACTGACATAGCTCAAGGGGGAGGAGGGCAGAGTCTGTGTTCTTATGCCAGAAGTCCAAGTATCCTTATGCATTGGCTGACATGTGGAGGTACCCAGGCACATGTCAAAGTGGAGCCCTTCATCTTGTTTTTGTGGAAGTCTCATTTATGTGTCCTAGCTTTAAAGCTTAAAAACATTAACCTTCACTTTCCCTTATTACTTTCAAAAATTTATATTAAAATATAATTCGTTTTCCAAATTTTTAAAAGACATTCTTGTAAATTCATTCAAAGATGCTTTCTTTAAAGTTTGTGCAAAGTCAATTATGACACGTAAAATGGGATAGGGGGAGTATAATTTTCCTTTTATTGACGTGATTTGCTTATTTTATTTTATTTTTGTTAATTCCTTAATTTCTTTTATAGTTTTGGGGTAATGAGGACATTTTGGATAAGCTTGGCACAAAATGGCTTCATGCCTTTGTGCAGTAGAATAGATGGAAATATTGCTTTCTAAATTCTACTCCATCTGTGGTTTCTTTGTGATCAGTACATAGATAAGTGCTGGCAGGGCATATTATGCAAATATCTAAATCTAAGCATGTGACCTAATTCAACAATCTCAGCGGAATGTTATGTTACCAAAAATGATATCAAGAGATGCCCTCCATGGAAATCTTGGGAAGTGAGCCTCAAATATTTGACAGTTTGGCTCTTCCAGTTTGTCTAAATATAAGCTGAGCTAGAACTTTTAAAACACATGGGGATGAGAAATATACAATCAATGCTTTATCATTGTTTAATATTCTTTAGCTTGATTCACAACAGAGAATGGCACATACTGGATATGCATTCTCACGAGTGTAGAGAACCATGTTTCTTTCTACATGCTCAATCTTTTGGTGTCTAGGAATGTATATTCCTTGTGATTCCCATAGCAATATCACCTCTGTAATGCTGTTCATAGTCACATTATGTACTAGATTAATTGGCAAAACTTGTTCCAGGTTCATAATTATAATTTTTATCAATGGTTTTTGTGTGTGTGTGTGTGTGTGTGTGTTGCTGCTTCGGTCTTGGTTGTAAATTTTTCTCCCAATATTTTCAGCTTTTATAAGCTTTTTCAAAATTAGTCTTGTGCCTTTTTAGCTTTTTTGAAGTTTTGCAGTATTCTATATTTTGTATCTTATATGTATATACAAAATTGTCACTTTTTTTTTTTTGCTTTCTGGATTTAAACTGCATTTTAACTGTCCTATGTCTATTTCATTATCTTCTTAGTATGTTATTATTTTTTCCATTTTTGTTCTAATTTGTCCCAGTCAGTTAATACTCACGTATATGTTTGCATTCTCTAGGGTTTTAACAATGCCTCAGTTCCTGCCTCAGCTCAGGCTACTTTTCCATACATATTTGCTGTCAGCAAATTTTTGCAGGTATATCCATTGCTCTGGAAGTTCATGCATGCCGTATTAATTTCCTTGAAACAATTTTTATTTTAATTTTGGTTTAATTTTTAATGCCCACAAGTCTTTTTTCTCAAACTAAAACATTCATAGTAATTATTTTTGTGGCAGCCTGGAACATTTGATCTTGTGGGCACCATTGTCTACGAAATAGACCAGAACCTATACCAAAGTACATTCTATAATGGTACCGTTGAAGTTATTGAAGCTGGTGGCCTCGTCAGTGTTGAGTCTGTCTTCCTATTTTTCCTTGGAATCGCGCTTCTTTGCCTTCTTGGATTATGGATTCGTGGTCAGATACAGAACCTTTCCAAGGTAATTACATGACTTCTGGGATGACTCCAGCTTATTCGATAAAAATATCTAAGATGTCAAATACATAGTTTATCCGATATGCAAACATTTTGCCGATCTGAATATCACTCTATTACTGTCTTTTAACTATTCCATTCCCGGCAGATCTCTTTTTCATTTTTTGCAATGGCATTGTGAAGAAATGTGTATTTGGCAGGGAAATAATTTATTTTTCAAATGTAGAGCTTTTTTTAAAAATTTATTTTTATGGGTTTGGGAGGGTGGGGGTGGTTTGGATTTCTGAAATTTCCCTTCAAAGCAGTGCTACATGTAAAAAAATCTGTTTGCTGTGTTAGTATTTTCTTGGAAGCTGGTTGATTTTGATTTAGAGACCAAGAGGGGCACCTGCCTTTGTTGCCCCTCTTACATCTTTTCATTATATTTTCCTTCTAATAAATGATGAAACTTCTATCTGTTTGTATGCACATGTTTTATTTCTGATATATATTTTGATATTTGTCTTCTTCTGTATCTCTCCATGACTTAATATTTATTTGTTTACATAGACTGTTGTTTCCTCGAAACAATTACTTTAACAATTTTCGTGTTTGTATATATTTTAATGCTCAGAAAACTAAGAGGTCACCAAAGGTGGAAGTTGGAACCAAGACAACTGATGCGTCGATGGACGAATGGCTGCAGGTTTGTTGTTTATGCATCTTCAAACTCAAATGCAATAACTTTTTGTCATAAGTTCTTCTTTGCAATATTCCGTTTTATGTAATGTATATGTTTCTTCTCCTGCCGTTGGGAGTTTTCTATAAAAACTTTGGTAACTAATATTGAAAGCTATGGGATTAAACTGTTTCTTGAACTTTTGAGTCAGTTGTAAGTTAAGAAGCACAAACACAGGACAACATTTTTGAAAAAAATAGGATAAAAACTCAGCTGGTATGACAAAATATTTATTTTATATATTTTTATTGGCCATGTATTTGAATATAAGTTTTGGGCACAGATATAAGAGGCATCAATATATATGTGGGTATATTTTTTATTTTTTTCATTTTCCCCTTTTGTTTTTATATATTTTATGTTGACCCCAAATCAGCTTTCTAAAACTATAAAAAATAAAAAAAAACCTTCGAAGGTGTTTAGAGACCTGTCCAAACATAGGACACGTGTCCATGATCGTCCCAACATGTCTTGGAAGAAAATACTAATTAAAAAAATTGACATGCTACGTGGCGTTTCTGTGTTCAGTGTCCAATACATGTTGGCCACGAACAGGGACACGACACCCATTTTGGGGTGTGTCTGTGCTTTCTAGGTCGTAACTGGGAAATTTATAAGGATTTTTGCTGATTAACATCTGTCTCTCTCTCTCTCTCTCTCTCTCTCTCTCTCAGGGAACTGCATTTACTCAGTCACTGTCGAGCAAATCAAAAAAGAAGAAGTAGATGATCTAGCATGCTCTCCCAGATCATTATCTGCATAGCACTGTGATGAGGCTTAGACTCTTGTAATTCGTTTTAGGCATTTGGAGATTTTGAGAGAGCCCAAAAGGTGACTTTGGAGGAAGAGAGAGACACACTTGCCTCTTTGTTGTAGCATGAGGACTAAACTTTTTTACATTTCATTTTCTTGGAGACAGCTGAAAATTCTAGCCCTTTTTTTTTTCCTTCTTTTTTTCTAAACAAAACTAACCGAGATTTGAGGTAGGAAAAAGACAGTTTTGTTAAACCCCTGAGTTTTTCTTAGATTATATGCTTTATTTTGCTCTTTCAATTTGATCATTCTGGGCTTTTTTCTGTGGTTGATTCTATGAGCTGAAGAATTATATACCTTTTGCTTAGGGAATGGGTGTTTTTAGTTTTTGTTTTTGGATTATCAACTTTTAATTTACAATAAATTTGCACAAAACAGGCCCAATAATTAGGTTGGATCCAGCAAAGAAATTGATGAAGATTCACAGCGAAAGATAGTAATAGAAAAGTCGCGATTTGTTAGATAATTTATCAAACTGAATTTTAACATTAAGAAAGATAAATTAGACTTTGCATCGTTTATACTTTATATCGGATTTTGGTATGATTTTTCATTTTTCAAAATGTAAGAGTCAATTCGTTGCACTTTGGTTAAAATGTGTTGTGGTGTTAAATTTGTTAACAAAAATTATTTGGTTAAGATAGGGTTAAAATGTGTTTCGGTGTTAAAACAAAAATTGTCGTGGTTAAAATGCATTAGGACATTAGTCGTTTCATTCTCCGCATTTGTGTATGAGGCTTATTCTCTTTACATTTATTGGGACTTTCTCTTTTCTTTAGAATTTTTTTCTTTGTTTTTTTTTTTTTTTTTTTTGTATTGATTATATGTTGTATTTGATTTTCGTTATTATAATTAGATTTGATTGTAATATCTTATATGAATAAATAAATTTAAAAAATAATATTGTATTAATATACTAAATTAGTATTTCAAAATTACTTAATAATTACTCATGTTGCCTTATTCGTTACCATCCTCACAATAATCCCAGAATGTAATCCTATAGAAAAATCATTCATCCCTCTAATTTTGTCCCTTTAATTCTACCCCCAAATGATGTAGAATTTGAGGGCTAAAGATGAGAAAGAAGAGTATGGAACCACTTCACATGGATCGTAGCCACATTATTGAGGGTGGAATTGGAGGGTCTCAATTAAGAAAAACTATTTAATGTTCTTGGAGTGCCACGTGTTTCACTAATTATCATACATCATATTTCTTCATGTTTCTCAATTACCCAACACAACAATTAGGGAATGTAACGGGATTGATTTACACAAATGCGTGAGTTATATAAATATTTGTGTATTATATAAATAAAAATAATATATATTTAAATTTGTAAATAAATAAAAAAAATTAAAATTCAAGCAGCAACTTAAACCTTATAAAAAAGAAAAAAGAAAAAAAAAAGCAACAACTTAAACCTTATTTTTTATACTAGTTGTTGGGCACACGTGTTTCACAAATTTTTTTTATTGACTGTCAATACTGTAATTATACATGTCTTTTATTTATTTTTTATTTTTTCTTTTACACATCGGAAATAAAACAAGGGACTAAGCCCTTTTCATAGAACATCCTAACATATCATCAACAAGTAAGCTTCTAATCTCAACTGGGGGTTCTTTCACCACCAGTATGTCCTCCGATTAAGCTGCTCCAAGTTTGGCAAGAGCATCAGCACACAGATTACCTTATTTCCAAACATGTTGGACAGTGCAGTTGCATCCTTTGAGTAAAATTTTTGTATTTTCCACTAGATGCTTGAAAGGGCATTTATCTCCTATCTCTTCCTTCAGCAGTTGCACAACTTGAGCTGCTTGAAAGGGCATTTATCTCCTATTTCTTCCTCCTGCAGTTGCACAACTTGAGCTACATCCGTCTCTATGATCACATCATTTAAACCTTGCTGCAGCACAACTGTTAATCCCTTGTAGACTGTCCATAATTCTGCTTCCAAACTGGTTCCTGGCTATAGTCTGCCATAGTATCCACAAACCCATGCTCCTCTTTCATCTCTAATCAGGCCTCCAAAGCCTCCATCTCCTCCTGATTTCCTACTGCCATCAGTGTTGAGCTTTAGTTGCTCTGCAGGTGGTAATATCCAAGAAATAAGTTGATAAGCTAGTCTAGGAACTGGTATAGAGTTGAGGAAAGATAGATGGATCTCCCGAGAATAATCTAAAATGTATTTGACACTCTCTTGGTAACCGGTGGGTTTTCCTTCAAACATAAACAAGTTCTTGTTTTTCCAGATTTTCCACAATGTTACAATAAAAACTAGATACCAAGAGAGGTTAGCATTAAAATGATTTTTATTTTTAGCATTACTCATGAGCCATTCCATCCAACTTTTCCTTCGTATATCAAGGTAACAATGTTTGTGAAAAAGAGTAAGCCAAACTTCTTTGGCCTTATAACAGTCTCTAAATAGATGCTGGTTGTCCTCAGTCATATTGCAATTGGGGCAGTAATCATCTTGAGTTAAGCCTCTATGCAGTCTCATTTGATTAGTAAGCAATTTGCCATGCCTCACAGTCCACAAGAAACCTTTAAGTTTATGAGGTAATATGAGTTTCCACAACCAATTCCAATCCTCATCATTATCATTCATGTGCAAAATAAACTCATAGGCAGAGGAGACAGTAAAAGCCCCATCTGGAGCCCTTTCCACATAGGGATATCCCTGTGGAGATTACTAGGAGGAACAGAGTTCGAGATTGTATTAGTCAAATTGTGAGAACCCAAATGTAAAAATTAAGTAAATAATTAAATAATAATAATATTACAATCTCAATATTTTGATGGTGAATCCTAAAGTGCCAATTAAATATTTGGAAGGTCTTTTAATTAATTTTAAAACCTAAAATAAATTTATGGTGAAAGTCTTTAATTTAGAGGCAAGATTTATTATTTAAAATAAAAATAAATAAATAAATAAATTTAAGTGACAAATTAGTAAGCATATTTTGATCTAATAATATTTTTATTTTAATGGAGATAAAAATTAAAATAATATAAAGAGATAATAAATTAGAGCCTTTTGGTTAGATATATATAAAACAAAAGATAATTATTTAGAGTTTTGTTTGGATATATATAGAGAGCAACCCTAGTTTTTCTAACAAAAACCCTAACCCTTATTATAATTGTTTTGCACAACACTTTCAACATGTAGTAGCAGCCACGGGAAGGGGAGAGAGAGAGAGAGAGAGAGAGAGAGAGATTTCCAGCACCCTTGTGTCTCAACAACTCTCTAAGGTATTAATCAATCTATTCTTGTTCTATTATAGATTATTGTTTACATAGTTATGGTGCTTGTGGGTGTTGAGAGTTGTTGGAAGAAAAGAAACGGTTTGGCTGATTGGGTTAATGTTTTGTGCATATTATTATCATACAAAATTTTAAAGCGAATTAAGGAGCTAAAGTCATTGGATAAGAATTCTGCACAGAATAACCAACTTTAAAAATCAAGAAACTATATCAAACGAATGAATTTTGAACTGAAATTTTTAGAGTAGATTAATTACATATTGAATTACGTATCTGAATTTTCTCATAATTTTTGGGAGTCAAAATCCATATAAACTAATGCGTTCAAATCTGTCCAGAAAACTGATTTTAAACAGCAAATTCGGGAGTGTTGTTCTCTTTGGGTATAAATCTAAAAATTATTAAATCAGTGTCATTAGAACCGGTTACAAGTCTAGTTTCTTGCATTTTTGACCTTGCGTTTATTGCTCGTGTATACTAAGAGAACCGTCAATTTCTTTAAAGTGCTGCAGAAAACAACCTATTTAGATATAATAAATTGTAGATAATTATTTTGATAAGCAAATCAAGTGAAACCAACTGGGCTTGAAACTTAGGATATATTAGTTGATATCTGGAGGCTTTTGGAATTTTTCGAATAGCGTGGAGTGAGTTTTTTAATTTTCAAAGTTAGCGAATAGATTGGGAAAACTTGTTTAAAACTCTGTTTTATCTTAAAGTTATTTTTAGTTAAGTTTCGATCGGAATCCATGTCTTGGGTGATTTTAGACCTTGAAGAACATGAACTTAGGTAATATTTAAGAGTAACGGTGAGTTGGGTTGAGCCGTGTTAGTGCGCTTTAGTTTGGGGTTACTTAGTTCGTATTCTTTAGTATTTTTAAATTAGTAGTGACGTGTAGTTTTCATATTGGTTCAGGGCATTAGTTGGACTTTCACACTCTATTCGAGGATTATATTATTTCATTTCCAGGTGAGTAGTTTCATGCTACATATTTTTATAAATGTTCCCCTACCCTGAACTGTTGGAAAATTAAATTGTTGTTTTAAGACTAAACTGTTTTGATAAATTATTATATTATCAATGGAATCAAATTGTTTCTGAAACATTTGTGAACTTGGCATACTGTAAACTATTTGTTTTGGTCTCATGTTTATAATGATGAACTACCATGTTTTGCGAAACTGGTGTGTATTGATTATTGGGACCATGTGTGTATTTAGTCCAGGGAAATTATTCCACTGTGTGTGGTGACTCTAGCCAGTAGGGAACAGATCCGGGTTGGGCCGTGATGACTCTAGTGCTCAACGATTGTAAGGAAAAGACCTTAAAAAAAAAATAGGTGACCTTCAATCGGATCGTCTTTGAGAAAAGGCCCAGGTGCCACCCTGAGGATAACTCTTAGTTCGGTATTGGATCCATCAGGGTTTATAGCCTTGAGAACTGTATGGCATATTATTTGTTTTTATTGGTACCCAAAAAATTATTGATGTTCATGTTATAATCTGTTTTAAGTGAAAAATGTCATTTATCATGTTCTTGCGAGACATGAGTATTTTAAGTGTTGAACTGTGGAACCTTCTTTTTGAAACTGATTATATTTACCAAACTGTATGCCAATTTAGTTTCTGTGATATATATATATATATATATCTTATTTTGGAATTGAGCCATGTTTTCAAAACTGTATTTACTATCCTTGTTGCTACTCACTGAGCTATCAGCTGACTTAGTTTTTATCACTTCTAGGTGTTAGAAGGACTTAGGGTGGACTCATGGCGTAGCTGAGACTCGATTGCATGGACCTCTAGGACATACATTTATTATAGCGATCCCGGTTATCCCTTTACTGTTCTGTTGTATTCCGGATTCGCTTTCGTGAAGTTGGTAGTGGTATCTATCTTGTTGTGTCCTTTAATTCCACATGATTGAGTTTTAGGATGTTTTGAACAGGGTTGTTATAGGTTGGTTAGGCCTTGGTTTCAATTC